ATAACAACAGAATGCACATTGTTCTGAAGCGCACATGGGAGGTTGTCTAGGATGGATCATCTGTTGGGCCATAAACATGTTTTAACAGATTAAAAAGTATAGGTATCACACAAAGTATCTTCTCTAAACACAATGGTATGAAGTCAGAAATCAGTAACTGAGGAAATACCAGAAAATTCACAAACACATGGAAATTAAACAATGCACTCTCACAAAACTAATGGATCAAAGAAGACACCACAAAGAATATTTGTATCTTGAGATAAGTGAAAATAAAAACACAACATATCAAAACTTATGAGATGCAACAAAAAAGTAGGGCTAAGAGGGAAGCTGACAGCTGTAAATGTCTATATTACAAAAAATCTCAAATCAATAACTCAACTTTACATCTTAAAGAACTGGAAAACGAAGAGCAAACGAAACCCAAAGATAGCAGAAATAAGACAGTAATAAAGATTAGAGCAGAGATTATTAAAAAGTAGAGACAATAAGCAATAGAAAAAATCAATAAAGCAAATAATTTATTGGGAAAGAGAAACAAAATTGACAAGCTTCCATCTAGACTGACAAAAAAACAAAAGAGAAAAGATGCAAATGACTTAAATAAAAATACAAATGGACCGCCATTTCGTGGACGCCTGGTGAGCGAGAGCATTCGTTGCTGGGGGTTGGGAGGGAGGAAAGCGGGAAGACTCAATGGAGTGTATGGATTTGAGCCTCCGCATTTTTTACCCTAGATCTCGAAATGCATTGTGATTCCTGTCCATTGGACTGTAAGGTTTGTGTAGGCAATCTTGGAAACAATGGCAACAAGACTGAATTGGAACGGGCTTTTGGCTACTAGGGACCATTCTGAAGTGTGTGGGTTGCTAGAAACGCTGCCGGCTTTGCTTTTGTTGAATTTGAAGATCCCCGAGGTGCAGCTGATGCGATCCGAGAGGTAGATGGAAGAACACTATGTGGCCGCTGTGTGACAGTGGAACTGTCGAATGATGAAAAAAGAAGTAGAAATCGTGGCCCACCTCCCTCTCGGGGTCGTCGCCCTCGAGATGATTATTGCAGGAGGCGGCCTCCACCTCCTCGCAGATCTCCAAGGAGAAGCCTCTCTCGCTGAGGGAGCAGGTCCCTTTCTAGAGTTAGGAGAAGAGAGAGATCGCTCTCTCCGGAGAGAAATCACAAGCCGTCAGGATCCTTCTCTAGGTCTCGGAGCCGATCTAGGTCAAATAAAAAAAATTAAAAAAGGACAGTTTGCAAGATAAGTGGTGTACAGGAAATTACTTCATTTGACAGGAATACGTACAGAAAATTCAAGTTTTGTTTGAGACTTCATAAGCTTGGTGTATTTTTAAGATGTTTTAGCTGTTCAAATTTGTCTCTTGAAATAGTGACACAAAGGTATAATTCTCTATGGTTTGAAATGGATCATATGAGGCATGTAATACCCAGTATTGTTACTTTACAATGTCCCCTTAAGCAGAATTGAATTAATTGAATTTGCTTTGAACTTTAGTTATGCATAGACTGATAATAAAGCTCCAAACCTGCAAAATAATAATAATAATGAAAATGGAGACATTACCATTGATTTTTCAGAAATAACATGGATTATAAGAGAATAGAAAAATAGATGAAAAAATGGACAACCTAGAGGAAATGAGGACATTTCTTGAAACACAGAAATTCTGTAGGTTGATACAAGAAATAGAAAATCTCAACAGTTCTATAACAAAGTACTTGTAAACATAATTAAGAAAAAACTTCCCTAAAAGAAAAGTCCTGAATCAGATGGCTTCACAGGTGAATTCTACTAAACAAAGAAAATTAACACAAATTATTTCTCAAATAATTCAAAAAATTTAAGTTTTGGGGATAGCAAGGAAAACTTGGTATGCATTCTGTGAAACCAGCATTGCCTTGCTGTTAAAGCCAGATGACATCACAAGGAAAGAAAATTGCAGACTAACATTGCTTATAAATATAGATGGAAAATCCTTAACAAATATTAGCAAGGCCAGGCGCGGTGGCTCACGCCTGTAATCCCAGCACTTTGGGAGGCCGAGGCAGGCAGATCACCTGAGGTCAGGGGTTCGCGACCAGCCTGGCCAACATGGTGAAATTCTGTCTCTACTAAAAATATAAAAATTAGCCTGGCGTGGTGGCATGCATCTGTAATCCCAGCTACTCAGGAGGCTGAGGTAGGAGAATTGCTTGAACCCAGAAGGCGGAGGTTGCAGTGAGCTGAGATCACAGCACTGCACTCCAGCCTGGGTGACAGAGTGAGACTCTGGCTCAAAAAAAAAAAAAATTAGCAAATTGACTCCATCAATATACCATAAGGATTATTCACAATCGAATGGGATTTTACCATGGAATGCAAGGACGTTTCAATTTGAACAAAAGGAAAAGAATCACATTATGATCTCAATTGACATAGAAAAAGCATTTGAGGAAATTTAACACCCTTTCATAATAAAACCTTTCGGCTCTTTCATAATAAAAATTCTCGGCTTGGTGCAGCGGCTCACGCCAGTAATCCCAGCACTTTGGGAGGCCTAGATGGGTGGATCAACTGAGGTCAGGAGTTCAAGACCAGCCTGGCCAACATGGTGAAACCCCATTTCTACTAAATAATACAAAAATTAGCCAAGCGTGGTGGTGGGCACCTGTAGTCCCAGCTACTTGGAAGGCTGAGGCGGGGAGATGGCATCACTGCACTCCAACCTCAGCGACAGAGTGAGACTCCATCTAAACAAACAAACAAAAAAAAAACCTCTCAGCAAATTAGGAACACAGGGAAAATTTCTCAACATGACACACTGTGTTTCTGGAAAACTTACAGCTAACAGTATATTTAATGGTAAAAAAACGGAATGAGTTGCCCTTAAGGTAAGGGACAAGAAAACGATTCTCACTGCTATTTGACACTGAATTGAAAGTTCTAGCAAGACAAGAAAAGCAAATAGACTGGGTGTGGTGCTCATGCCTGTAATCCCAGCACTTTGGGAGGCCAAGGTGGGCAGATTCTTTGAGCCTGGGAGTTTGAGCCCAGCCTGAGCAACATAGTGACGCCCTGTCTCTACAAATAATACAAAAAACAAACAGTCTGGCCGTGATGATCATGCCTGTAATCCCAGCACTTTGAGAGGCCGAGGCAGGCAGATCACCTGAGATCAGGAGTTCAAGACCAGCCTGGCCAATAAGGTGAAACCCTGTCTCTACAAAAAATGCAAAAATTAGCCTGCCATGATATTAGATGCCCGTAATCCCAGCTACTCTGGAGGCTGAGGCGGGAGAATCGCTTGATCCTGGGAGGTGGAGGTTGCAGCAAGCTGAGATCGTGCCATTACACTCCAGCCAAGGCAACAGAGTGAGACTCCATCTACAAAAATATAAAATTAAATTAAAAAGTCATCCAAATCTAGAGGAATAGGTGAAACTATTTCTATGTATAGATGACATGATCCTTTGTATACAAAACCCCAAAGAATCCACTAGAAAACTCAGAGCTAATGAATGAATTCAGCAAAGTTGCAGTGTACAAAATCAACACACAAAAACAAATTGTTTTCTATACACTAGAAGGAAATTAAGAAAGAAATTCCATTTACAATAGCATCTAAAATAATTAAATACTTAGAAATAAATCTAACTGAAGAGGTGAAAGATTGATACACTGAAAACTATAAAAGATAAAAAATACAAAAAATTTAAAAAGATCAAAGTAACTGAAAATACATTCTGTGCTTGTGGATAGGAAGACTTACCACTGTTAAGATGTCAATACTGCTGAAAATAATCAGCAAATTCAATACAATCTCTTCTAGAATTCCAACAGCCTTTTTTTTCCACAAATGGGGAAGCTGATCCTCAAATTTACATAGAATTGAAAGTGACCCTGAGTAACCAAAACAATCTTGATAAGGAAGAATAGAGTTGGAAGACCCACACTTTCTGATTTCAAAACTTACTACAAAGCTACAGTAATTAAAACAGAATGGCACTGGCATAAGGACAGACATATCCAATGAAATAGAATCGAGAGTCAGAAAAAGGTCTCATGTATATGATGAATAGATTCTTTTTTTAATTTTTAATTGACACATAATTGCATATATTTATGAGGCACAGTGTGATATTTTGATACATGTATACAAAGTGTGATGCTCAAATCAGGGTAATTATCATATCCATCACCTCAAACATTTATAATTTCTTTGTGGCAGGAACATTCAAAATCCTCTGTTCCAGCTATTAAAAATATATAATAAATTATTGTTAACTATAGTCACCCTACAATGCTATAGAGCATTAGAACTTTTTCCTCCTATCTAGCTGTAATTTTTTGTCCATTAGCTAACCTCCCCCAATTCTCCCCACCTCCCTGCCTTTCCCAGCCTTTAATAACCACTACTCTACTCTTTGCTTCTATGAGCTCAACTTTTTATTCTTCCACATATAAGTGAGAACATGTGGTATTTATTTTTCTGTGCCTGGCTTATTTCAGTTAACATAAAATCCTCTAAGTTCATTCATGTTGCTGTAAATGACAGAATTTTATTTTTTAAGGCTGAATAGTATTTCATTGTGGTTATAGACCACATTTTATTTATCCATTAATTTGTTGGTGAGCACTTAGGTTGATATCATATCTTGGCCATCATGAATAGTGCTGCAATAAACACAGGAATACAGATCTCTCTCTCTCTCTCTCTCTTTTTTTTTTTTTTTTGTAGCCATGTGTTAGCCACTTTAATAGAAAATGTGATCAAAACTTGATTACAAGAGTTCAGAGAAAAACCAGTGAGTTTCAATTTTACTACAATTTTTAAAATCTGGGACTAGTTTTTTTTGTTTTTGTTTTGTTTTGTTTTGTTTTGTAACTTAAATGCTAACTTCAGCCCAGGGTTTTTTCACAACCAAACTAAAAATTACTTACTACATGGGAACACAATGCAACAAACAAGTAAAACTTGTAAACTCAAGCCACAAACTTATAGTTAATAATCATGGTAAGGGACATTGCCTTCTGTGAAGGCAGAGAAGAAATATGCAGACAATTCTGCTTCAAAGAAATCTGCATAGGAATGGAAAATGCTAGAGCCTTTAACACAAGTGAAATTGCAAAGCCTCAACAAGTTCAACTCAGTCCACAGAGCACCAAATGTTAAACTGGAGCCAAAATAGGATTGAACATTGAATTTCCAGCTATGCCACTCGCAGGGCACAATGTCAGGTGTGGAAACCATCTGTAGGCAAGCACTTTTAAAAACATGAATTTCATACACCGTAAATTCTAAAACACACACTTCTGCATTATTGTTTGAATTTCAGAAGGGCACTACAAGGCACCAGCGTCTTTCAAAGTCACTCACGGCAACAACTGTGTATTTTTTCCCAGCCTTGGTAGCCCCTTTTGGCAGTTCTCTAGCCTCTGCACACACGGCGCCACACCACTGTTTGTAGAATGACTTCTGACATTAAATCCAGTCGTGACCTAAGTCGCATGAGGCAACTATTTCCCGGGCACCTTCCATCTCTTTGGCATGGGGGGCCTCCCAGTGCCTTCTTCGGGCCCCACACAAGAGGCCACATCTGGAAGCACTATTCCTCTAGCGTCCTCTGCTGGACACCAAAGTGACAGATTGTTGCTAAGACTTGCAGAAACAGATAACTTACACATTCATTTTTGTACACATTTAGTTAATTTAGAACCTGGGACTTCTACAATCGATTCCCCAAACCTCTTTATGGAGAGTGATGGACTTTGCAGCAACGCTGAAGGACCGCTGTTTCTCTCTCTAGGAAGAAGGGGATTAGTAGACGTAATTGTGTGCATCAAGAGAAATTTGTAATAAAAAAAATCAAAGTAAGATGAACGGCCCAGAAACCCGCATTTTATTGACACTGTCATTTTCCCAGGCACAGAATCTTAGAGAGATGTCACGTTTTCTTTTCTTTTCTTTTTTTTTTTTTGAGACGGAGTCTTCAGTGGTGCAATCTCGACTCACTGCAACCTCCGCCTCCCAGGTTCAAGCAATTCTCCTGCCTCAGCCTCCCAAGTAGGTGGGATTACAGGCATCTGACACCCTGCCTGGCTAATTTTTGTATTTTTAGTAAAGACGGGGTTTTACCGTGTTGGCCAGGCTGGTCTTGAACTCCTGACCTCATGATCCGCACACCTCAGCCTCCCAGATGTATAGGGATCTTTCCCCGCAACCAAACAGCAGAAACCAGCTGCATGTCCTCCAATTCCGTTCTAACACTATTTACGTGGAGATAGTGCCAGATCCCATAGGTTAAGTACTCAGTGCTGGGATTACAGGTGTGAGCCACCGCACCTGGCTACGTTTTCTTTTAATGAATGAGAGGAGCCTACTTGTATCCCTGAATCATTCTTTGGGAGAAGCAACAGAAACAAGTGACAGTCACACTTTTTAAAATAAAACAGTCACTTCCTTCAGTCCATACCTCCACGCCCTCATCTGCCTGCCCGATGTCTGTCAGTTCCGTAAAGTCACCCTCTCCTTCTACTCTAGTATTACGACAAGAATTGAAATTTTCAAGCAGAAAAAAATAAAAAAAAGTCATGTTACAAATAAGTGAGTGGTGGCCCAAGGGAAGCCCTTTGACTATGATTTCCAATTCTCTGTTCAATTCGCACTGCGGAGACACAACGGTAAACCACCAATTGGGTTCCCAAGTTTTATTCAAGAGCTCATACAAAATATTCCAGATAAATGAAATGTAATCCTTGTCTTCCTCCTCTTCTTCGTCCTGGTTAATTTGGAAGTAACATAATTTGTAATTCTCTTTATGGTTAGCAGCTATGCACAACCAATCATGAAGATTATTCTTCTTCAAATATTTTTTGGTGAGGTATTTCAAATACTTTTTGGAAAAAGGCACCTCGGATGTCACGGTGATCATCCTCTTGCTCCTTTGGACGGTCACCATCCCTCCACCAAAGTTCCCAGCTTTTCAGTTCACTTTGATCCTTTCTTGCAAAAACTGCTCAAAATTGGCAGCATCCATGATTCCATCTTCTATAGGGTGGGTGCAATCAAGCATGAACTTCAGAACCTGCTTTTTTTTGCTTCCCTTCACCACAGCTTTCTCACGGGCACCATGGCAGTAGTGGAGGCAGAAAGCCAGATGTCTCTTTAACATATTGATTTTCTTTCCTTTGAATGTATATCCAGTAGTGGGATTGCTGGATCATATGGTAGCTTAATTTTTAGTTTTTTGAGGAACCTCCATATTGTTTTCCATAGTGGTTGTACTAATTTACATATCAACCAGCAGTGTGTAAGAATTCCCTTTAATCTGCATCCTCTCCAGTATTTGTTATTTTTTGTCTTTTTGATAATAGCTGTTCTGATTGGGATGAAATGAAATCTCATTGCAGTTTAGATTTGCATTTCCTGATGGTTAATGATATTAAGCATTTTTTCTTATACTTGTTGGCCATTTGTAGATCTTTTGAAAAATGCCTACTTAGATCATCTGTCCATTAAAAAAAAATAGCGTTATTTGTTGTTGTGTTTGATTTGCGATTGAGTTATTTGAGTTATTTATTTATTCTGGATATTAATCCCTTGTCAAATGAGTAGTTTGTAAATAGTCCCTCCCATTGCGCAAGTTCACTGTTTACTCTGTTGATTGTTTCCTTTGCTGTGCAGAGCCTTTTTAGTTTGATATAATCCCATTTGTCTGTTTTCGTTTTGTGGCCTGTGCTTTTGTGGTCTCATCCATAAAATCTTTGCCTAGATCAATGACCTAAGCATTTTCCTTAGGTTTTCTTCTGGTAGTTTTACAGTTTTGGGTCTTGCATTTAAGTCTGTAATCCATTGTGAGTTTGGTTTTGTATGTGGTGAGAGATAGGGGTCTAGTTTTATTCTTGTGCATATGGATAACCGGTTTTGTCAGTACGACTTATTGAAGAGGCTGTCCTCTTGCCAGTGTATATTCTTGATGTCTTTGTTGAAAGTCAGTTGGCTGTAGATACGTGTATTTATTTCTGGGTTCTCTATTCTGTTTCAGTAGTCTATGTATCTGTTTTTATGCCAGGACTGTGCTTTTCGGGTTATTATTTTGTACTATATTTTGAGGTCAGGCAGTGTGATGCCTCCAGCTTTGTTCTTTTTATCAGATTTGCTTTGGCTAGTCCGAGTCTTTTGTGGTTTCATATGAATTTTAGGATTGTTTTTATTTCTGCAAAGAGTATCACTGATATTTTGATAGAGATTGCACTTAATCTGTAGGTCATTTGGAATAGTGTGGTCATTTAAAAAATATTAATTCTTCCAACCCATGAACATGGAATGTCTTTCCGTTTCTAGGTCCTCTTCAATGTTTTTCATCAATCTTTTATTGTTTTCATGGTAAAGGTCTTTCACCTCCTTGGTTAAATTTATTCCTAGGCCTTTTTTTTTTTTTGGTAGCCTTTTAAAATAAGATTGCTTTCTTGTTGCCATCTATATGTCCATGAGTACCCAAAGTTTAGCTCCCACTTATAAGTGACAACATGTGGCATCTGATTTTCTGTTCCTGGGTTTATTCACTTAGGATGATGGCCTCCAGCTGCATCCATGCTGTTGCAGAGCATAGGATTTTGTTCCTTTTTATGGCTGCATAGTATTCCATGGTATATGTGTACTATGCATTCTTTATCAAATCCACCACTGATGGGCACCTAAGTTGATTCTATATCTTTGCTCTTGTGAATAGTGCTGTGATGAACACATAAGTGCACGTGTCTTTTTGGTAGAACAATTTTTCTTTTGGATATATACCTAATAATGGGATTTCTGGGTTGAATGGTAGTTCTGTTTTAAGTTCTTTGAGAAATCTCCAAACTGCTTTCCACAGTGGCTGAGCTAGTTTACATTCCTACCAACAGTGTATAAGCATTCTCTTTTCTCCACAGTCTTGCCAGCATCTGTTGTTTTTTGACTTTGTAATAGTAGCCATTCTTACTGGTGTGAGATGTTTTTTCACTGTGGTTTTGATTTACATTTCTCTGATGAATTAGTGATGTTGACCATCTTTTCACGTTTCTTGGGCACTTACATGTCTTCTTTCGAGAAATGTCTTTTTTGCTTGTCGATTTGTTTCCATTCCTTATAGATTCTGGATGGTAGACCTTTGTCAGATGTGTAGTTTGTGAATAGTTTCTCCCATTCTGTAGGCTATCTGTTTACTCCAAATTATACAAAGAATTCTTAACAGTCAATAATAATAATAATAAAATTAATGATCTAATTAACAAGTAAGAGATCTGAATAGATATCTCACCAAAGAAGATATACAAATGGCAAACAACTGTATGAAAAGATGCTCAACATCATATGTCACCAGGGAACTGGAAATTAAAACAACAATTACATATCACTAAACACCGATCAGAATGGCTAAAATCTAGAACACTGATGACATCGAATGCTGGTGAGAATGTGGAGCAACAGGAATTCTCCCTCAATGCTGGTGGGAAAGCAAAACGGCACCACTACTTTGGAAGAGTTTGGCAGTTTCTTACAAAACTAAACATACTCTTACTACACAATCTAGTAATCAAGTTCCTTGATATTTATCCAAAGAAGTTGTAAATGTACGTCCCCACCAAAAATGCACAGGAGTGCTTATAGCAGCTTTATTCACAATTGTCCCAAACTGGAAGCAATAGGTGAATGGATAAACAAACTGTGATATATCTATATCATGGAATATTATTCAGCAACAAAAGAACATGAACTACATATTTTTTTTCTGTTTTGTTTTGTTTTGTTTCGAGACAAGGTCTGGTTCTATTGCCCAGGCTGGAGTGCAGTGGTGCGATCTTGGCTCACTGCAATCTCTGTCTCCCAGGCTGAAGCCCTCCTCCCACCTCAGCCTCCTGAGTAGCTGGGACTACAGGCAGGCACTATTATGCCCAGCTAATTTTTTTATTTTTTGTAAATATAGGATTTTGCCATGTTGCCAGGTTAGTCTTGAACTTGTGAGCTCAAGAGGCCTGCTCACCTCAGCCTCCCAAAGTGCTGAGATTACAGTCATGAGTCACCATGCTGTCCAGGACATGAACTAATAAGCCATGCAAAATCATGGAGAAACTTTAAACATATGTTGCAAGGTGAAAGAAGCCTGTTGGAAAAGGCTACACACTGTAAGACTCCAACCATCTGACATTCTGGAAAAGGCAAAACTATAAAGGCAGTAAAATGATCAGTAGTTGGTGGGAATGGGAAGGAGGAATAAATAGGTGGAGCACAGAGGATTTTTTTTTTATATACATTAAGTTCTAGGGTACATGTGCACAACGTGCAGGTTTGTTACATATGTACGCATGTGCCATGTTGGTGTGCTGCACCCATTAACTCGTCATTTACATTAGGTGTATCTCCTAATTCTATCCCTCCCCCAACCCCACGACAGGCTCCCAGTGTGTGATGTTCCCCTTCCTGTGTCCAAGTGATCTCATTGTTCAATTCCCGCCTATGAGTGAGAACATGCGGTGTTTGGTTCTCAAACTATTTTGTGTGATTCTGTGATGATGGACATATGCCATTGTGCATTTGTCAAAAGCCCTAGAAGTACAAAACATAAAGGCATAGCCCGGCCAAGCATGGTGGCTCACGCCTGTAATCCCAGCACTTTGGGAAGCCAAGGCGGGCAGATCACCTGAGGTCAGGAGTTCAAGACCAGCCTGGCCAACATGGCAAAACAACATCTCTGTAAAAATACAAAAAATAGCTGGGCATGGCGGTGTGTGCCTGTAATCCCAGCTACTCGGGAGGCTGAGGTGGGAGAATCACTTGGACCCACGAGGCAGAAATTACAGTGAGCTGAGATGGTGCCATTGCACTCCAGCCTGGGTGACAGAGCTTGATTCTGTCTAAAAAAAAAAAAAAAAAAAAAGGTATCGCCCTAATTTAAATTATGGATTCAGTGAATAAAAATGCATCATTATTGGTTAATCAGTTGTAACAAATGTACCACAGTAAAGAAAGCTAATGATAGAGGAAACTGGAAGAGGGGAGATAAGGAGAAAGTGGGGGAGGAAATATAGGAAACGTTGTATTTTCTGCTTAGTTTTTCTGTAAAACCAAGCTCTAAACATAGTCTATTCGTTTTTAAAAAGGTAATGAAATGTTTGAAAAAAAGGTAAAGATATTGAGAAAAAGTCATGGTTTCAGTAGTTAAGAGCATAGCACATTTGATTGACAATTCTGAAATCTACATTAAACATACCTTAGTTTCTATTAAATTCCAGGAATTGTATAAAGAATTAGAACATATGAACTAATTTTCCAAAACCCTCCTGTAAACATGTAGAAAGAGCTAAAGAGATACTAAATCAAGCCACTGTTCTAGGTGGTGACACTGATTTGGAAAATGTTTATAAATGTGCCAATCCAAAATTATAAAAAAGTCATTTTGATCTCTAAGCATGACAAGGTATTTGTGAAATCTTGCATAGACTCAAGTGCTGTTTCCATAAATATTCTTCAGCATTTTTTTAAATCATACACAACAGATGATGCTATGGTTTGGATGTTGGCCCTCAAACCTCATGTTAAAATTTAATACCCAGCGTTGGAGATGGAGCCTAATGGGAGGTGTTGGGATCATGGGGGTGGCTCCCTCATGAGTAGATTAATGCCCTCCCTGGGGGGTGGGGGGTGAGTGAGTTCTTGCTCTGTTAGTTCCCGTGAGAACTGGTTGTTAAAGGAACCTGGCACCTCCTCCTCTTTCTCTTGTTTCCTCTCCCACCATGCATTCTCTGCAAACCGGCTCCCCTTTGTCTTTCTTCATGAGTGGAGGCAGCCGGAGGCCCTCACCACAGCCCAATCTTTCAGCCAACAGAATTGTGAGTCAAATAAATCATTTTTCTTTATAAACTATCCAGTCTCAGGTATTCCTTTATAGCAACACAGATGGGCTAAGACAGATGATATCCATTCTTAGTAACATAGCACAAATAATATAGTTACATGCCTTTCTAATCCTTGATTTCTTTATATATGAAACATGATTCATATAGCACCATGATCTTCCCAATATTACTGAAAATTTATTAATAAAATA